GACACATAGAGGCAATCAAGCGCATCATCTATTCGTGGCAGAGGGTAGACATCTTTTTTGGTAATTTTGTTTAGGTGTCGATAATCCACACAGAAACGCCATGCACCGTCTTTCTTGCGGACTAGCACTACAGGAGAAGCCCAAGGACTGCAGGATGGCTTAATGATGTCCTTGGCGAGCATTTTGTCGACCTCACTTTGGATGATGTGACGCTTGGCTGCCGACACCCGATATGGACGCCTATGAAGAGGATGCTCATTACCAGTGTTTATGCGGTGGCTCATACCGGTAGCTTTCCCCAACAGACGGCCGCTGATGTCAAAAACGTCGATGTAGGACAGCAGAACCCAGTGGAGCTCATCAGTCTGCTGCGGCGTTAAGTTGGAAGCGATCATCGAAGTAATAGCGCTGTCGGAGCAAGTGGCAAATTGATGTTGAGTGTTGGGGTCAGAAGGGGCGGCCATCGCGAAAACATCTACCGCAGATGTGTCTTCTAAGGTGCAGAGCAACGCCAAAGGAGATCCCTTGTGGCAAAACTTGAGGTGACAAGCTAAAGTTGACAACTTGGAGGCATGTAGAACTTCCTGCGACGGACAGAATGGTGTGCGGTAATGTAATGCCACGGCTTATGAGGACATCGGTTATAGGCGTCAGAACATTGTCCCCGTCGGGAACTGGTGGTATTGAGATGAGCTCTATGTAGGTCAGTGTCTGTGGAGGGAGGCGCGCGTGTCCCGTTGTGCAGAGGCGACTTGGCCGTTGTGTAAGAGGTTTTGTTGCGGGCAAGTGTAGACGGAGCGTACTGGTCGAATAGTCTATGAGGGCAGAATGCGCGGACAGGAAGTAAAGGCCTAAGGTTATGTCGTGGGGGCATTTATCAAGGACGGTGAAGAGAACAACTGTGTGTCGATCGGCAATGCTCACACGAGCGGAGCACATTCCCACGATAGATGCTATTCCACCATCCGCAACACGGACGAACTGAGTGGTCGCAAGTGTGAGAACCTTCTTGAGCTTGCGGTGAAAATCACTCGTCATGACCAAAAGTTTGGCACCGGTGTCGACAAGAGCAGTGACATATACGCCGTCTACTTGTACGTCTGTGAGGTTCCGTTTTGTCGGTATCGTCAAAAGAGGATTTTCGGTCAGTCCGAGCGATGCAGCGCCATCTCCGGGGGCTGCAACGCTTAGTTTTCTGTCGGGGAACCTCGTGGGAAGGCGGAGGAAGATGGTCGACGGGGCTGCGGAGAACGAGACTGGCGATGTTGGGGGGATGGAGAGCGGGTGTAGCGTTATTCAGAAGCAGGTTCCTGGGCAAAATGGTCGCGGCTGGTCTCATGGCGATAGGCAGGACGTGCATAGAAGGGACGAGAGGACGGTTGTGCAGGAGGACCCCAGCGACTTCTGCAATGCCGAGAAATGTGCCCGATTTTGTGACACGAGAAGCATATCGGCTTGTCATCGTGTGTTTGCCATGCGGACGGATTACGGAACGTTGAGGGAGAGCCGGTCGGGAAGGGACGTGCAGGCGTGTATCGGGGCTGGTTGTCGATGCGGGGAGGCGGTGAGATAGAGTGAATTTCCAAGCTGGCGATTTCCTGCCGGACGACTGCTTGAATGAGAGGCAACGTAATTGGCGGAGAGGGGTCGGGGGACGTTGGTCCCACCTTAGCTGGAGCAACCCCTTCAAGCTCCCGCCTGACGATTCACGTCAAGTTGTCACAGGTGTCTGGTGGATGATATGTGTCGAGACACGAGGACGTCGCAGTGGTGTTCGGGAGGCGCTGAAATTGATGGGAGATGCGTCTGCTTTTAGCTTGTTGGAACCGGCGGCATTCTTGAATGATCGCATCAACAGATGACACATTGTTGAATACCAACAAGTTGAATGCATCGTCGGCGATACCCTTTAGGATATGCGCAACTTTTTCAGGTTCAGACATATTTTCGTCACCTTGGCGGCATAGTGAAAGTACAGCCTAAATATAACCGATGTAGGGCTCCGTGGAAGATTGTGTGCGAGTCGACAACTCATTTTTCGCAGCTTCACGACGGCCAGAGATGTTGCCAAAAAGCTCACGGATCTTTGCTTTGAAGCTGTCCCAGCTTGTTATGTCATGCTCGTGGTTATCAAACCAAACACGAGGGGTTCCGTCGAGGTAAAAGATGAGGTTTGCGAGCATAAGAGTGGGATCCCACTTGTAAGCGGCGCTGACGCGTTCGTAGAGGCGTAGCCACTGGTCGACGTCGGAGCCCTTGCTGCCCGAGAACACGCCGGGGTCTTTGAGCGCGGGAAGCGTCACGAAAGTTGTTGCGGGCGCTGGGTTGACAGGTTGGGCAGAAGGGGGAGCGACCGGAGAGGATGTAGCCGAGTCTTGGGTGGTCATGTTGTAAGCTGCGAGGGAGCGTCCGCTTCGGAGTTCCGTGGTGAGGACGGGGATCGCACAACTCCACCAAATATGTTACGGGAAGGAGACTGACTCAGAGAGTAGTCACCGATGTATTTTCAGCCGGTTAGGCGAGCAGCGCCAGTCACACAGATTAGCTCGCGCCAGTCTATCTCCTTCGTCTTCTTCAGCTCCCTGCACTGGCACGTAGCAATATGAACCGTTTTTCTAGCTCTACAAGTGAGGGATTGACAACTGCACGTGACCGGCACAACACGGGTTGTCTGTGGGAGGAAGGCCTATTGACACTTGGCCTCAAAGATAGCGAATGCGGCAAAATTTACCGGCCCTCGCTTTGCTGCCTAAGTGGCCGAAAAATCGCGTCACGATGCCGGAGTGAAAAAATCGATCCAAGAGCAATTTTTTCGCCACGCGATAATGAATCGCTTTTCCGCTTCATGGCTTTGGCTGCGCCAGCTCAAAGAAACCACTCAAACCACAGTATGTAAACAAATGGCTGCAAATTCAACATGGGGGCAAAGGCGCTGTCAGTGGTGACTCACATCAGTGCATTTGCAAACTACCCGTGCAGCACAACAAAGCTCACGGCCCTTACAAGGACGCGTTCATCAAGAGCCTGGTTTTGATTACGATCACCGATAATGCTGGAACTAGAAAAAGGCACAACCGAAGCGAGTCGGCATGCCCCAACGTGTCTCACTTTTGTATAGCCGGCTGAATTCGCTGGCACTCCAGGTGTGTTCACTCATGCCATTTCTGCGTGCATATCTTCTGCAACAATGTTTGAAAAGCTACAAAGTGTTTCTTTTTAATGTGTTTTTGCGTGCATAACTAAAACTTAGCACAAATTTGACGAAGGTTGCTATTTGGGCGTGTTGGTTTGCTATGAGTGATTATGACGTTGCGGATAAAAGACACAGACACAAGAAGAGACGATGTAACACACAGGGCACAAACTTTTAACAAATTTATCTCGGAGAAGACACACCCATGAATAAACTTGACATGCATAAACGTGCATGTCCCAAAGAACATCATCAAACTTGTGCACAGCCACTCAAAAAAGTCACAGTTTCGCTGCAAGGGTCAAGCAATGAATACGATAGCAACAACTTTGAATGTAATGCTGAGAACAGCAAACAGATCGAAACGTGCCGCATGCTGCTAATGCACAACTGATGCATGAAAACAACACACACAGGACGAGAGCTAACTAACAAGGTTTACGGCTCAACACTTAACGTGCTGTTTAAACAAAAATGTCGCACGAAATGTAATCACAGGTACTGATGAGTACAAATTAACAAGTGGCCCAGTTGTTTCTTTGCTGTGTTTAAAAAGAGTGCTCTTTTCACAAACTGTGTCTGTTCAGCTAGCGAGGTGATCTATGTGCGCCCGGCAACTAAACTCAATCGTTGTGCTGAAAGCCAAAATTGCGCGATTCTTCACCCACCACAGTATAAGTGCGCAGATAAGGCCCCTTCTTTTCGCGGAGCAAAGCACCCATTGGAGATAAGCGCGCATCAGTTCATCGCCACGAGCTGGGCAGCGAGCTTTATGCCGAGCGTCCTCATCATGTCATCGCACTGGTAATGCTGCAAACATGTTATTTTTCCCGAGATAGGCGTTGCCAGCGCTAAATAGTAGATATAAATAGCTTGCCATTTGAGTGTTAAGAAAGTGCTCCTTCGTGGCTCAGTGGCTAATGCCGCGCACTCATGAACGAAAGGTCAAACGTTCGATTCCACGTGCTGGAGTCTTTTTCTGAATTATTTTTTTTTCTTGCATTTTTATATATATAGATACTTATACATATACGATGAATGACGGCAGAGGCCTATCCCAGCGGTAATATCCAGTCGAGAGTTTCCGTATAATTGCTATCGCAATAAAAAGAAAGTTCTTTTGCTGGCAGTGCTGTGGAAGCTTCACTGATGCACCTATCTTCCAAGGCTGAGTTTGCGATTGCGCTTTTCACTAGCTTCACAGGGCGCAGAGCCTTGCAGAAGGCGCTGTGCAATTCGTGTTGCCAATGCCTTTTCGAAGCAGGTGACCCGCCTTAAGCTCGCAGGGTTCACGCAGAACATAGTGTTGTCTGAGACCGAAGGCTTGCTTAGGGACTTCAGGGATCCCAGGAGAAAGGGAAAGCGTTCAAAACTCAGTGAAAAATAGTTGACTCCAATAAAGTTCTTGCTTTATGGGGTCAATTAGCAGCGTTTACTCGTTTTGGTTCATATGAATTTGGGATGATAAAAATATTTTGCATGCTCCCTAAGAATTCATATTGAGATTCTACTGTAATATTACTTGTTTAAGCAATTACTACTAAAAAATTTTACCTTTAATTTCAAGGCGCTAACCTTTTATGGGTATGATAGTTTCTACATTTTTGTTTGAACTAGCTTAATTTTTGGCCTTGATGATGACCCATACCTAAAAATATATTAATGGCAATGGTTTTGTTGCTACCAGAGTTTTTTTTTTTTTTTCTGCCTTGAACGGGGCATTGTTAGGCACAAAAAAAAAAGTTATGTTTGCTCATTTTGCACTGGCTGACCGATATATTTTATTATATTCTTTCTCCTCCTGTAGATTGTGTGCTACATCTACTTCACCAGGATAATTGTGTTTCTGCTGAAGGTGAGCAAAAAAATGTCGTGGTCTTAATTTTTGGCTCGGACAGCTTAGTTTGTCATATTGAGAAGCATATTGCAACAGCATTGTTATCATCTTATTATGTCTGGTATATTATTATAGTTGGCAGTGCCATAGTATAGCTACTGGCATAATTTCTATAGCACAGTAGTATTAATGTTGTACTAGCTAGGTGCATAACTGAACAAAAAATGTGCAAGGGCTAGGTTGACACGATAAACAAAAATATTGAAAAAAGGTCTTTTTTTTTCTTTTTGCATTATTTGAAATCTGCAGCCTTTTCTGAACCAGAATCAGTCATTTGTTTGTCTTTGTGCAATTTTTCTTCTGTAAAAATGACATATTTTAAAACTTGTGTGGCGGCCTGTCATGCCCCTATTCTTATGTAACAAGGGATTCCTTGCAGTTCAAGCACCACAGCCATATGGAGATGTTGCACTTTGCAAGCTCGAGTGCATTTGGCACATTCAGAAAAGAATGGGCCCAGAACTGTGAAAATTAAAGAAAGCAGAGGCATCAAGCTTTCTGTAGGGAAATTTATATCTGGTCGGGGGACATCTTGGGGTTGTTATTATTGGCAAGCACCAAAAATATTATCGTTTGGCCATTCAAAGAAACAGAGCCACCTTGAAGGACATGCGAAAAGCTGTTCCGGCAACATATTTTCACATGCAATCAAAGAACAACAATCTACCCCACGGCCTTTGCACGAAGGGTGCCGAATCTTGATGTATATTCAACAAAGCCCAGTTTAATGCTGAATCATTTGTTCATAAAAAACATCTTTCAGCATCGGTTATTGAAACTGTTAAGCCAAGTTATCCAGAATTAGCTCATTCAAAATTTCTCGCTAAATGCCTTTGTGGGAGACCTCAGAACCCTAACCAGTCGCTGAATTGTCGTGTGGCAGTGCACTCTGAAAAGCGTTTTCCTCAGGCACCAAACACTGAAAATATGCACTCTTGATGCTGTGCTCACTTTTAATGGCGACAATATAGCCTGTAATGATCCTTTTGAATGAACCTTTTTCAAGCACACTAGCGCCACCAACGGGCGCAAAAGCGCTTAGGGGAAAAGTTGATACGCCGCAGCAGCCGCGACGAGCGCGCGGGCCTCATGCTTCAACTTTTCGTTTGCACCATGCCAGCGCTTGTCAGATTAAGTGAACTCGACACAGTGTGATATATTACTGCCTGATTCACTTACAAACTTCAGTGTTTAGGTGTGATGGCCTGTCTGGGATTTTCCTTGTCCCCCTTTTCAATCAGCTCAGCAGTTCAGATTGCGTCACCTAATTATTATATTATTTAGCGTCAGTATGCCTTCGGCCTAAATAAAAAGCAGTACAACTTGGTTGACTAAAAAGTGCAAGCACTGTTCATAAATTCACGGATGCATTAGGAATCAATGTCCTTTGACGCTGTTCACAAGTAAATTGTACGGTTTTGGTATACTTATTTATTTATTTATTTTATTTATTTACATTTCACCTACATCACCGTGAGGCATTACGTAGGGGAGACACTGGTCTGAAAAATGTTTTTTAATTTTCAGTATTTCCAACTGAAATTTTAATACAATATGTATTTTTCACAGCTGAAAACAAATATGCAATTAGTTTTTTGCTATCACTTTTAGATTGTTAAATATTGACTGTTACATAAACTTGCATTCTGCCCAGCCTTTTGACATCTTCCTCATAAAATGTTGCTACAAATTTGATATGACAGCATTTCATGAAGGCCAGGGAGTGCAACAAAACCGTAATTTTATTTTTAGCTTCATTGGTACCAGAGTTACGGCCTTAACAAGTATACTCATTAGAAATCTGAAACTGTTGCTTAAGTTTGTTGCTAATTAAATCACTATTGTAAATAAAAATATTACTGTTTTCTTGCACTAATCAATGTATAAGCTTTCAAATGCTGCAAGAATGATCAAAATCCGACTGCTACATCAAAAGATATTGTGGGCAATGGCTTAGGGTGTGATGAAAAATGTTGTTTTGAGAAAACGAGAAAAGAAGTTTAGGAACATGCTGAGCACTTATATTTAACAAGAAAAGGTGTGAATCGGTGTATTACCCTGTTAGAAACCACCAGGAATGTAGTCATCATCATTCTCCTTGGTGCGCTTTCTTTTCATGGCATGCTTGAAGTTTTCAGCATGCTCATGCTTCTTCTCTGATGCCACTAGTTGGCGACTGTCCTTTTCTGAGCATCTTTCAGCGGCCACAACACTCTGCTGCAGGTGCAGCTCCTTCAATATGGCGGCATCTGCTCTCCCTTTGCCAGCGTTGAACCTTGCAACAGCTTCGGCCACAGCAGCTTCAACGGTGAAAAGCAACGAGTGTTTGTTTTTGGACACGAGTGACCAGATGACGGAGTGCAGGCTCTCGTTTGGGTTCTGTGTTTTGCCTCGCTGACAACGCTCGAGCAATTTCTTGTCATAGAGGCACGTGTAAATAGGCCGCAAGGCATCAACCACATACTCCGGCAGGTTGTAGCGATGATTCGGAGGAGTCTCCTGCTTGGCAATAGCCTTGTTGTACTTGCACCATGACTCTTCACCAGTTGGGCAGTGAGAGTGCTGAGGGCTTGCATCAGTAGATGCTACGTGATAAAAAGGTTGCCCAGACAGCATTATTCATGGCCTCAATGCTTCCTTGGTTGCTTTGTAAAGCCCATTCATAATATGTCGTGAACTTTGTGACCAGCTCGCCTGTCAGTTTGCCCTTGCCGCCAAGGCTTGGCTTTCCTTCGGTTCTTTGTTTTTGCAGGAGGTTTCGAAGTGCTGTGCCTATGCGCTTATGCACATGGTTGACACAGTCCACTTTTTCTATTTGCACGAAGCCATACACCTGTGCCTCCTGCAGACTGTTGAAGGCCCGGCTGTCTCCATCACACAACATGGTTGTGTAGCGGAGCCCATGTTTCTCCAATGAGCGGCCAAATAAAATTTGTGCTGCTTCTACCTCCATTTGTCCTGGCTTACTGGAGGTATTTTTTTGGCAAGTGTGACCAGCTAGCCACTCGGCATACCTTGGGTTGTCCTCCTTCGGCCCTAGCTGGCAGCCCAAACAAAAGTTCGATAGGACGACGAAGTCGAGCACATAACCCGTGAATGGTTCAATCACGGTCCCTACACAAATATGGGATGAGTGGTCCTGGTCAGCCAAGTCCCATCAAAGGAAACGGTGATATTTCCAGGATTTCTATAGGTGAGTTCGGAATACACCGTTTTCACGGTGCTCGCGCAATCGTCAATAACGCGCGCGGCAGCCTTCTGCGCGGCAGGGTTCATTTTCAGTTTCACAGTTTGCCCGTTTCCTGTGCTTATTGCCGTGCGAACCGCGAGCACGTTAATTTCGAAGGGGCCGTGCGCTGCGTCCCCCCTGCTCTCGGCGAGCTCTACACAGTCCTCAATTTACTGCACTCGTCACATGTGAGAACAAGTTTCGCGGCTATGCCATATTCGCGGTCTTCCTTGGAGATTCTGCCAGACCCGCCACACACACCGCACTTCATACACTAAAGAAGTTCGTTGACCAACTCTAAGCTAACGACGGTGAACGGCGTACCAGGCGTTGCGGCTCCATCCGAGTCTCGAAAAAAAGACCGCTTGCATTTTGTGGCAGACTTCGATGAAAGATCTTGCAGAACATCGCTCGCACGACACTCGATGGCCACTTTTTGGCAAGGTTCCTTTTGGCGTTGCATAAGTCTGTTGCCAGACTTTGGGGTGGTGTTGCGTCGACCACGCGCTACGATGGGGACGCTACGCTTCCCCTAGCTGTGTCAGCACAAGACATATCGTTCGGACTCGTGTATACATGTGATGAATAAGCGTTCCAAGGCTGGTTAATCGGGGTATGTCGGATATGCTACAGGTATGTACGCCTGGAAGGCTACTTTATCGAAGCAGATGGAACGAATTAAGCGCGACTTGCGCGTGCCTGTAAATGGGGCCCGGCCGACGAGCCACCGTCGCTTACAGGGCCCCACCCACAATAAGCACAAACTACCAAAATTCGAAATAATGATTGTGTATTGTTTCTCAGCTCAAGAGCTTAGTATACAACAATATGAATAAAATGACATAATAAACATAATAATGACAATAATAATAATACAACATAATGACAACATAAACATAAGAATAAAATGACAATATGTCTCACTACGTGATAATCACAATTAAACTGGATACCGGCGAGCAATTACCTCCATCAATCGAAGAAAAGGGTCTTTCACGTTGGGACGTGCGTTAAGTGATCTCCACCAAAGCCAGGCGAGGTGAGACGGCATAAGTGAGGTAGTCATCTTGTTGCTGTTGTGAACGAGACGGCGCTTGGCCTTTTGCCATTCACTTTCAATCCTTTGCGTGTTGGCGCCTGTCGTAGGATCAACGAAGTTGACACTGTAGTTCATGGTGTGCCAGTCCAAGTTTAGCGGTGTTCCGTTGGCATCCACAAGTCTGGGTATGCACTGGTACGCGGCCCACTCGTCGCTGTACACCGTCGTCCCGGGAAGAATGTGCTGCCGGTCGAAGCGATGGCGCAGGCGACAGTCCGATTTCATGAAGGAAGGCCTCTTCCGCGGCAGGGTACCTTATAATGTCGGCGATTTCGACAATGCTGGGGTCTATCCGTGGCGTGGCCATGACGAGACGCTTCCTGAACTGGTAACAGTGTAGCTTGCATGGCTATCGTTACGACATTTTATAAGGGTCATGAGGTGAAAGGGGGATAGAGCGCTCTAACGTTGACAGAGCGCCTACGTGATGCAGCATCAGCGGGGAAAGAGGGGGTGGGTCACGGCGCCGACATGGCGCGAGCATCTGCGGAGAAAGAGTGGATGGGCTACGGCCCTAATGCCTTGCGAGCACCTGCGGAGAAAGACTGGATGAGCAAAGACGCCTGGAATAAAAAAACATTAAAAAAACTTTTTGTACCTCTAACGTTGGTCAACATGGCGCCGACGCGA